CCTGGACCCGACAGCTTAAAACTCACACAAGGCACATGTGTGTGCATGTCCAAGTTTCCAAGAGGAGAATGGAGAAGGCATTGTAGTGTGGCCATCCCCCTTGAGACATGATTTCTCACCTCCTGTTTCTCTGTCTTTCCAGCAAGCATATGCACCCTATAGCAAAAATCTCTAAAAAATAAATAAATGAAAATTGTATATATAGAAATGTGGGGTTCAGAAAAGGAACTATCAGTTAATAGATGTGCACTGAGAGTCATGCCTGGTACCAGGCATGGAAAAGAGGATAGAAAAGAGGCCCGTGCCAAACCTTAAGGGTCTGCAACATGAGGAGAAACCAGGTGAAGGTTGGAAAAGCTATGGAAGCCAGAAGTTACTTAAGAAAACCAAGGGCATGTGATGTTCTGTAAACCAAGACACAAGATTTTAAGCAAAGAGAATAATCAATTGTATAGGCTCAAAGTAAGAACTGAAAATAGAGCCTTGCAGTTCACGGGTGACTGTGACAAGAGTTTTGATGTGATGGTGAGGGCAAAAAACTTAACTGGAGTGGGTTCAGGAGAACAAGAGTTGAAGACAGGGGAACAAGAAACTCTTTCAAAAAGTTTTGATAAAAGGAGGAAGGAGGGTCAAGACAGGTTACTGCTTGTTTTGGTTTTTGGGGAGAGGAGATATTCCAGATGCCCATATGCTAGCGGAAATGACAGCTGAGAAGATCCACTCATAAAGCAGGAGTTCAGGGAGAACTGCTAGAGCCACTTTTTTAAATAGGCAAGAAGAGAAGGGGTCTAGCACAGGCGGGAGGGTTTTCTTGGATGGAGTATGAGTAGTCCCTCTACTACAGTGAGAGCAGACAGGACACGTGGTGCACTTTCTTTCTTTCTTTTTTTTTTTTTTTTTTGGAGAGATTTTTTTGCTATAGGGTGCGTGCGCTCGCCAGACAGACAGAGACAGAGAGATAGAAAGCGAGAAATCACCCCCCAGAGGGGATGGTCACGCCGCAATCCCTTCTCCTCCATTCTCCTCTCGGGATCTTGGGCACGCACGCACACGCGCCCGGCGTGAGTTTTAAGCCACCGGGTCCGGGATACGAACCATGGACGACTACGTGGAAGTCCAGTGACATAGCCATTACGCTAACTGCTGGTCCCAACATGGTGCACTTTCTGGAAGAGGTGGCTGTATAGCAGTGGGAAGTGGATCAAGAGAATGGCAGAGCGAGCAGTTTCTTGTAGGTAATGTTTTCTCACTTTATGAATTAATATAGGTATTATAGCACTACCTAGGAATCTAACTCTTGTCCCAAACTGTTAAGTATCGTAAGATGTAGTTACCTATTCTATAAAGTGAAGATATCACTGCCATGTATATTATAGATTGTTATAAGGATTAAATGAGTTAATATTTGAAAAATGCTTAGCAATACTGAACAGTAATACTTTTTACCTGCTATAAATACATATAATTTCATTTATCTTTTAATTGCCAGAGGGTTTGTGTGCTTACCAGAGAGAGAAGAAACAGAGAGAGAGGAAGAAAGCACCCCCCATGGGGTGTAATCATGCCACAGTCCTTTCCCTCTGTTTTCCTATTCTGCCAGTATTTGGGGACCCATGCATATACATCCAGCATGGTTTACAAGCCACAGGGGCTGGAATTTGAACCATGGTCAGCCATGCAGAATCTGGCTCTTTTAACCATTAAGATACAGTGCTGGGCCCACCAAATAGGAAATTTTAGGAAGCAATAAGAAGTGAGGGGGAGTTGGGATGCATATGTTCCAGGACTTGAGGTTCTTTCAAATAAGGTAAATCTGAAGACAAAACAAAGCAAAAAAACCCTTAGATGTTGCCTTCCTCACATTTATAAAATGGTGTATTACCTAAATTATGAATATTATTTGTATCGTGAAGGCAAATGTCACATGTAAAATACATCTTAAAAATTTAATTACTAACATTTTAATTATTAACATTTTGATGATTGATATTAATGTGTTATAATTAAAATGTTCTTGGAGCAAATAAGCACTTAAAATCAACTTAGAAAAATTTCAATTGCTGTGAATTTTATTTCATCTCAAAGCCTCTTTGAAACCTAATGTATAAATCCATACACTTAATTGAGAGGAAATAAAAATGTCATTGTTTTTGTAACTTCAAAAAGAAGTAATGGCATTGGAAAAGAAAAACTGGATCATGTCTGGTAGGTACCTCCTCATTCAGGGACCGGTTATGCTGTACAGACACTGAATTTCCCCCCTTTCCTAGTTCAGAGCTAGGTCTATGAACAGGGAGGTTCCAGGGACTAACTGTAGTCCAGGCAGCAGCCATTCCTCATTTATGCTGAGACCCCTCGAAGGCAGCAAATCCAGTCTCAGCTGTGCTGGGTCCTTCAAGGCAGCTTTAGGTTCCCCTTTTTAAAAGCAGTTTAATTTCTCAATATTGATAGAATAAGATCATTAAAGATCAAAATTGGATTACTTCAGTTTAAAATTATTCTGGATGATCATTCCTCTGTAATTCTTAAAAGGATTTAGTAGGCTTAAGACATTCAGCTATTTCCCTCTCCTCACAGTGGGTCTAGTTCCTGCCGTGTCGGCAGTAATAAAGTTGAAAATCGGGAAAATGTTAAAATATCTTAACTGCAAAGATTATCTCTAAAGTATATTTTAGAGCAAGACCCTAACAGAGCAATATTAACAGACCCTAACAGACCCTAAATACATATTCCCATCTAGTTTGACTTAAGTATAAGTTGTTTTTTTTCTTTCTTTCTTTTTTGATAGAGAGCATGTGTGTGTATGAGAGGGAGAGAAAAGCACCCTCAACAGAGTCCCATCACTCTATGATCCCCTTCCCCTGCCCTTCAACTCCTCTGGATCTTAAATGTCCATGCACACACACCTGGTGTTTTCAGGGTGATCCAGGGATCCGAACCTAGGGTTGGTTATGTAGTCTCCAGCCTTGCAGGGCACTGAATTACTACTGTGCTACAGTGGGAAGGCCTCATCTAGGTATTTCCAAGCACTGTGTTGTAGTTATGCTGAGCAATTAATGCAAGGAAAACGGATGCTTGCTAATCAGTGCCACGACAAGCAGCTCCCCCTAAGGTCTGCAGTCTAAGCTGGAACGAAAAACACAGGGTCTGAATCCGTAAGAAGGTGGGTGCATCATCTGGGAAGGTCAGAGAAAGTTGCAGCTGAAGGCAGGCCCCAAAGCAGATCAAAAGCTCCAAGGCAGCTGGAGCAGAGAAGCCTCAAGTGAGTACAGAAAATAAAGGCGGGCTGCTGAGAGGGGCAGGAAACTGGAGCACACTCGCAGAAGGACCTTGCAGACCCAGGAGAGGCGGAGGGAACAGCTTCAGGGCTGGCTTCCCACTTCCAGGGACATGCCTCTTGGTTAGACCGCTTCCTGCCCTTAATCAGACTCCACACTGTAGCCTTACAGCAAACAGACTTTCATTTCAGCTGGCAATTGAGGTTTTCCTTTTTGGAACTAATAATACCTGACTTGGAGATGCCTGATCCTCTGCTTTTATGGATGAGATCACTGAAGTCAGCAAGGTCACCCTACTGGCTAGTTTTAGAACCCAATTCACCTGATTTCCAGCTTTGCTGTCTATCTGGTCTCCTTTATGTATCAGTGGACATTGAAAAGTTAGATCTGAAATACTAAGCAATATTTCAATATTGGTTTAGGTATTATGAAAGCCCTAAGCTAAACTCAATTTATCCTCACATAAAAATGCACCTGATAGAAATGCTAACTTTCCAGTGCTTTAAGTCTGCCAAGGTACTCAGGCTCCAAATTTGTAAGATAGATTATTTACTCCCTACTCCTCGGTGAGATCAGGCCCAGTGTGTTTGTCTCGGTTCCTTCATCAGACTATCTTGCACCAGAATATTTACGCAGGCACAACAACTTTGTTAATTTAACATTTGTCAGGGTCACTTTTACAAATTATATCCCTTAGATGCATTTTTAAGCCTTTAAAGAAGAGAGGTGACTGTGGAACTGATGTAAGAACTGGATAATGCCTCCTAAAGGCAGCTACCTACTCCCTGTGTGTGTCAATGGTGGCAGGGCAGAGGACAGGTGTGGGCAATGGCTCCCCATGTACCTGGGGAACATGCCTCATGCAAGATGGGGGAGCGAGAGCAAAACCCCAACTTGATTAATTACTAACGTAAGCTAGGAGTGTCTTCATTTTTGAAAGTTAACAATATGGAAAGCAGACTTGGAAAATGTTCTTCAGAAAGCGAGGAATACGCACTGGCCTAGCCATTCACATTGTAAGGCTGTTAGTTTTAGAACTAGGCTGTTTGGTAAGCTGCATCTGAAAGGTTCACCTGGTCCCAGGTGGTCCCTAGTGACGTATATTTCCAGGATAGGTTAGTTCTGAACTCCCAAATGTTTTGGACTGGCTAAAGTCGAGCTCTAGGGATCCTCCCAGTGGCTGCTCTAAGATTTTCTCTAGCTTTGGCCTTACAATAATTCCACCAGGAGGACGGCACTAGAGGAAGGGCCAGAAAACAAATGTACATAAAGAACACGTTGGTTGGTTAGAATTAAAATGTGTCAATCAGGAAGTGGTCTTTAGTATTACAATTTTAGCAAACTTTCAGAAAGTTTGAAATTTGACTGAGTTAAAGCTAAAGAGTTAAAGATATCAGAATAACATGCTTGTATTGTCCATATTTCTGAGACACTGAAAATTACAATAAAATCTCTCACTGTAAATTTTATAATACCACATAAAATATACACTAAAGATTAATCTTTCATAGTGTCAGAAAATTCAATTTTTTTAGATAGTTATCATAGAATTTGAATTCTGGTTTGGTCTTCTTGACAAAGAAAATTAAATGTAACTTTTACTAGGTTTAAATAATTCTACATTATTAAAAATTTTTAAGGTGTATACTGGGCTGAAATAAAAATATTTTGACAAATTTATTCAGAATTCAAGGTTTTTTTTAATACTTTATTGACCAGAAATATAATCTTTCAGATTGTGCTGGACTGTCAGAAAAGTCATGATGCATTTTTGCATAGAAAAATATGGAAAAAATACATGATTTTTCTGACAACCCAATACATATTTTCTCTAAGACAGCAATGTCTTCCTTGGCACACACATTAAAGATCATATAGGAAAAAGTTTTAGTCATTGTGGAATCACATTCTATAAGAAAAGTGGGACACCGTGGGGAAAAAAAAAATGTGTCCTCAGAAAACTGAAACGTTTTCCAGCTCTGATGGTACTAAAAGGGCCCCATAGAAGACGTAGAGTTTTTATCTAGTAGTGACTCCTGAGCACCCCTGAAACCCAGAGTTGGTCTTTAATTCCATTGACCTCCAAAGGAAATAGTTCTTCGAGGATAGCTAATACCTAGACTTAGGGCAGGAAAAATGACAAATGGGTCAGGAACATCCTGTTATTTTTTTGATATTGTGGGTGCTTTTAGATATATCGGGGTGCCAAATAGACACTGGAGTCAACATAAAAGGAATTCCCACTGACCAAGCTCTGAGACTTTGAGCATCAAATATGTGCACAGGAAGGTGGCCGTAACACAAAAGCAGGCTGTGACAGAAGTTTGATTTTTAATAAGTAGGGGAGTGTTTAATGTTACACATTTTATTTCTCCTAAAAATAATGTATATTAATCATATTTAGATATGTATTTCTGTCTGTGTAAACACCAAAGAATAAACACATGGAACTTGTAATCTGGTCAAACGATCCTGGCAGAATGTACCAAAATCAAAAACAGAATGAACTGATTAGCATGAATAATAGGAGGTGTGGCGGAAGGGGGAACAGACAGCCATACTAAATAACTAAAGAAGAGGGACAATTCAACAGTGTATTTAAGAATATGAATTACTCTGGGTCCTAAAGAGACATGTTAACTACACAAATTAAATCTCTCATTACTAAGAAATGAAATCTCTAGAATCAAGATTCATAATAAAGAATACAAACATTATAAATGACAACAGATATAAATACCCTAATGATAAGCCAATAGGTCAGGTACTGTCTGCCATGCAAAACATAATACATCATGAGGGCAAATGACAACAAGCGTCAAAAAAAAAAAAAAAAGAAAAAAACATGAGAAAGGGAATTAAAAGTTTACCATGAAGGAGAAAAAATGCTCCACATTATGGATCAGGTTTGAATTACACTATCTATACAATCAGTTCATTCACTGGTCAAAAGCCCAGATCCCTTTTTCTTTAGCTCTACTAAGAATACCAAAACTCAGCAAAGCAACAATACTGAAAGATTAGGAAAGTATCAAATTAAGAATCATATTATCTGGGGAAGTTATTCAATACAGATATAACAAATCTCTTAAACCATACTTTTGACATTTTAGAATATGTCTAAGTCAATATACCATAATAAATTTTATGATTGTTACCTACAAGTATGTATTTTATCAGCTGTTAAGACTTCAAAAGATTCATTCATACTAAGTTCATGCTCATAGTTTAAATGTTTCAGAAAATTTAACATATTTTGGAATTGATGTTTAAATTCTCAAGAAAGGTTGGATTTCTGAAATTTTTTTTTCTGTATGAATTTAGTGAACATTAAACAAAACACACAGAATCTTGAGTATTCTTCATATCTCAAAGTTCCCCAGACAACTAAGGAATCCATCAATCCTTACATTGCAAATTCATACTTCAGGAGAGAAAGTCTATGATTATGGAATCCTAACTCCCTCTGCTAACACCTAAAGTTATTTTTAAAAGGACACAGAAAGTGTGACTTATCTTACCAAACACAGTAATTTGCTTGGTTTTTAAGGACAAATGAACCATAGCTTAGTTGGAATTCACATTTTCACATCACCCATGTGGGTAGATATGACATGATAAATGGTGGTGATTACTGTATACTCTCTCTTCTTCTAACCATGAGATTTAAGTTGCTTGAGGTAGATCCAACAAGAGAATGTGAAGCACAAAATGTTGGCTCAAGAAAGGAAAACTCAAAAGGTCAATACCTAATGTTTGACTAGTTGCTAGATCTGTAGGAATATCACAGAATTGTAAGAATGCCTCTTAAAGCAAGAAAAGCATTCATCACATTTAATCTGATGCATGAGAATAAACACAAAAATATATATTTTTTTAAATCACATGATTTCAGCTAATAGTCCCAAATGGTAACCAATATTCACCATACCTAGCACATACTGGGTGAAAATATAAAAGGATCAATCAAGAATCCATGCCTTGTTAGATTTATGAGTGCTACCTTCCTGGCATTTGCTCCTGAGTGGATGAAAGAAGGGAACTTGGAAAGTCTCCCCTCACCCTCAAAAAACAGATCTAAAAACAGAAACTTCTTTGGGAACCCAAGTACTCCATTTGTAAAGTAAAAGGAACCACAACATCAATTAATTTGACTTGAGTGCTGTATCACACTGACCTAAATTGATTATGCACCTTTTTAAGTTATGAAGATAAACCTGAAATTCTAACACCTGATGGAGGAGCTGATATGTAGACTAATACTCAGTGTGGCCAGAAGTTCTGTTTTTAGAAATACCATATTGATATCCAGAAACGGTTGTGATGAGTTGGGGAAGGCGAAATGTTACCAGAAAGATTTTCATGATTATGGCTTTTTTCTCATCTCTTCATCCCAGTCAAAATCTAATGCTTCATCATCTAGTTCTGGCAGAGTGAAGAGAGATTTTTTGGGAAGAGTCTGTTTCTCGGTGGACCCCTGCAGCTGAAATGACTTCCTTTTACTGCCAAGCACTGCCAGCGCAGTGGGACGAGGAGGGCTTGAGCCTCTCTCACCCCAGGTCTTCATTTCAGGAGGACAAAGGGGCTCTGACTTGGATTCTGATGGGGAAGTGAAGGAGAAGTTTGCCAATCTGGCCAGTGTGCAAGTGTGAACCTTGCTGGTTTTATTATTGTGTGAAACCAACTCCTTTTCATCTCTCTCACAAGTAAGATGAGAATGCCCCATTTCGTTCCCCACCTCTAAATCATGCTGAATAACCTTCTTTTCAGGGGCACATTCCCTCTTCTCTTTTGACCCCTCTTTCTCTGGTGGCTGCCGTGGCACCTCCTTTGCCTTACCCTGCAGCTGATCTGAACCTCTGTTTCCTGAGGTATTTGTGAACTTTTCGGGATCCTTCACAGTTAGCGCTGCTTCTCTTCTCGTTCTACATGGGGAAATTTTAGGACCATGCGCTGATATTTCAGTTATGCCAGGAGATGCATGGCTGTGGACTTGAGGGGAGTGGATCAGTTTTGACTTCTGTTTGAAAGTAAATTTTGCCAGTTTGGCCACAGGAGGTCCTGGAGCCTCAACACTTGCAAGTTCAGGCTCTTCCACCTGGACAGGGGATTTTGGTCTCTTTCTTTTGGGAGTTTCCAGCATCCTTCCTGGGTTATGCACAGGAATGGACTGAGGATGAGAAGGGGCAGCGGGCTGCGAAGGTCCCCTGGTGGGATTTCTGCACAACTCCCGGGCCCTTTCCTTGCACAGTTTGTGCAGTTTCCTAGGGACATGAGTAAGCACAGAGTCCGGCTCATCGGTAGGTACTGCTGCTTCAGAAACCAGTGCTACCCTTTCTGTCATTTTACCCTCAAGATTGTCAGGCCAACATGGAGCATCTGTCTTGCCTCGTAATGGAAGCTGCCCTGATTCCAGTTTGCTCCTTTTGCCTGGTTCACTCTCTTTCTTAGCCTGACATTTGTTCTTAGAGATGTCCAAAGCCGTATTTTCTCCAGTCTTGCTGGGATCAGGAGACACAAAAGCAGTGTTTTGGGGTTTAGTCTGATGGCTTTCCATGAAATCAAACCAGTCCAAACTGTGGTCTCTGCTCTTTTTGTGCTCAGCTGACTGTTTTCTGCTTGTTGCCCTGTTAGGTCCCTGATGGGCTGGGGGACCCGGCAGGGTGTTCCCCCTGGGACTGCCTCCAGGAGAGGAGGGATGTATGCCACAATTTATTTCCTGTGGAGTCGAAGTTCTGAACTGTGATTCTTCCCCTGGGTCTCTTCTCCAGGATCCTAGAGTAGATTCTGCCTCCACGGCCTGTGGGTGGGATTGGTACACACTCTGATTCTGTAACCTGTAGCAGAGATAAATAAGGAAATCATGTATGGAACAGAAGAGAGTTTGCTGTTTAACTTTTTTCCTTAGTCTCTGGAGTGCCATCTTAAGGGTTTAAGTCCAGCATAATAATTCCAAGTTAATATCAAATATGGTCTCTTAGAACAGCAGAAGGAAATTGCCCTGTTTGATCAGTATAGAATTTCAGTGTCCTGATGGCATTCTAATTTAACCTAAAACTGTAGTAAACAAAAAGAAATGGGAGGTCTGTCTACATTTTAGTTCTCCTTGAAAGTCATTTAATTCATTTAAGGTTGTTTGAGGGTTACCATAAAATGTTCAGTCGCAACTCTCATGCTAAGTGTTCAAATATAAAACAGACTTGTCACTATGTACACAGTTGCTTATTGCTGGCCAAGTAGGTCACTGCTCTAGTTGTTTAGAAGCCATCTGCAGATCAGAAGCAAAGTGGAAGACCGGAGATTATGATCTCACATCTCACTGAACTGAGGCACTGAATTTTAGCACAGCTGAAAAGTCCCCTTCCTCGGGAGTAAAGTCTGTACGAGCTCTGCACGGGTGCTCCACTGCTGGCTCCCGCACTCAGTCATGGTTGTCATCCCCTGAGCAATTGTGACACTTTTTCTCGCAAAGTCCTGGCATATTTCAACATGTGTCCCACGTAGTTACTCTCCACTGATTCGATAAAGAATTAAAATCTATTTATAGTCTGTGAATTATCTGCTCAGTGATACTAATTTTAAATCTTGGGCATAGCAGAAATGGAAATAATGACAGAGGGACCACTGTCTAACAGGACTTGTGGTTACTTTTTTTCTTTCTCATTTAGATTTTTTCTATAGGGTATGTGCACTTGCCTGGAAATCAGTCCCCAGGAAGATGGCCACACAGCAATCCCTTTTCCTCCATTCTCATCTTGGCATTTTGGGGATGCATGCCCATGTGCCAGGTGTGATTTTCAAGCTGCTAGGTCTGAGTTTGCACTGTGGTAGGCCATGTGAGAGTCCAGTGCCTTACCCACCATGCCACCTGCTAGTTCCTAAAAGTAGGTCCTTTTGAAAGCCCTGACTAGGTTGTTACCTAGAAGTACCTTTTCATTATAAAGTGCAACATGCAACATGACCCTGACTCTCTGCACTGAATCTGAAAAGAACTTACACCAAAAAGTGGATGAGTAAATGATTCTAAAATCCATGTGTAGTCATAGAAAAAAGAATATAAGGAAATACAATTGATTTAAATGTATGCAAATACATTAAAATGTTAATGGTATATATCTCTGGGAAATAAGATTACATATGACTTTTGTTTTCTCATTAATTCACTATTGTGACTTTTCAAAATACTCTATAAAGAAGATGTATTACCTTTACAATCAGAAACTAAAATTGTAAAAGTATTGGGCTATATTCATTCACAGTGAATTTGGAAATATCAGTATAGCAAATCCATGTTCATTGTTATTAATTTGACTTATAACCTAACAGAAAAACAAATAGCTTTCAAAATTACTACTTACGGTTTCCAGCATCAATTGAGGTCAAGGATTCTCATAATTTTTAGAGCTCCATAGCATTTTGAAAGATGAGAAATTTAAGGGGCTGGCAGGTGGCATGGTGGACTGGACTGTCACATGACCGACCGCGGTTCAGGTCCCGGACCTGGTGGCTTGCTTTCTCACTTTCCCTCTCTCTCTCTAAATTTGTCCCTCTCTAGTCAAATTAAAATAAAGTTAAATAAAATAATTCTAATAAAAAAATGAAAAAGTGTGCCCTATAATTTTAGCCTAATTCTTACTTCAGGAATTAAATTTTCCCTTACATAAAATTTCTGCGGTTTTGGTGCACCTTCCTAAAGCAGCATCTCTGTACTCTGCTTTGAGTGGGATAGAATGGCTACCAATTGAAGCTGACTATCTTTAGTAAAGCCTTTTCTGGAAGACAAGTGTGATAGTAATTTAAACAGTTCCATTATAATTATGTGATCTCCTTAAGAAATAGAAAATTCTTCCTGTAAGCATTAGAAACTCATACGCTAGTTAGGTTTTTCTCATGTGATGAGGTTATCTTTACATTGTTTCTTGGAGATACTTCACTTTCATTGATTTGGTACTCAGTTTTTCCTTCTCCTCCATTCTCCTCTCAGGATCTTGGGCATGCATGCACACGCGCCCGGCTTGAGTTTTAAGCCACCGGGTCCGGGACGCGAACCGCGGTCGATTTCATGGGAGTCCAGTGACATAGTCATTACACTAACTGCTGGTCCTGATACTCAGTTTTGTGGCTTTGAGGATCAATGCTAGAGCATCCCTCTGCATTATAAAGAAATATCAGCGGAAAAAAATTTTTTAGGGTAGAATCCTATCTTTTCAGATTGTCACGTTTTTTTCCTTTCTTCCCTCCAGAGGGCTCATTTTGGATATGGAAAGTCCAATTGCTATTTTTTTAACATAAAACCCTAACTCGGAGCCTTACATTTCCTCCTTTCCTGAATCCATTATTTGTGTCTGGTAACTTGGGTTAATCAGAATGAGCAGCCTGTCGAAAGGGAAAGGCAAGTAAGCCTAGAGGGGTTTGAAAAGGATCAGCTACATCAAACCATAAATGACTCCAAGGAATGACTTTGATCTTGGTACCACGCTCTAGATCATAAAAACAGCCGGAAGGCCAAAAGAAGTGGAGGGATGATTTTATATGAAGTGCAAGTTTACCGTTGTGTGGCATCTGGGTATTAGCAGGATATAGTCCAGTCCCACATCTCCCCAAAAAGGTTGTTCTAAGGTCTCATAAGACAATGCTGCTGGGAGAAGAAAGTGAGTGAATGGCAGAGAAATGGAGAGAAACACCAGGAAAAGAATCCCAAGGTTTTACTTAAGACAGTCAGTAACTCAGTATGGTCTCCAAATTCTCCTTCGGCAGCTGCTCTACTTGCACATGTATCCATTCACTAGACCCCTCGAGAGCAACACCAACGACCAGGGTCAGCTCGATTGTTAAGCCACTCACACCGATCATGAAGACACCTGGTTGGGTGACAGTCTGCTCCTCAAGGTTATGTTTTCGGAGCTTGTTTCCCAGTATAATGGCTCTGGGAGGTGGTGTGACATTTAAGGGATAGGGCCTAATGGAAGGGCACCCACCATCCAGTTAGCTGTGACTGTGGGAAGGACGCACAAAGGAAGCAGAGAATTCTGGTTCTTCTCTCCTTGTACCTGCCCACCTTCCTCTCTGGTTCTATCGCCATGTTGTGATGTAGTACCAGAGGGTGGTTTGATGCTGGCCCTGTACACTTTTGAATTTTCTGACCACCAGAATTATGAGCCAAAATAACCTCTATTCTTTATAAATTACCCAGTCTCAGGTAATTCTGGTTAGTAACACAATAAAAAGGTAAGATAACACCAAAATAGCTAAACTTGCTGTTCCTCACTCTTATTTTTGATTTAAACTCAATGTCTAGCTTCTTAAAAGCCAATGGAGAGGCCAGTGAGTGGTGTATTAGTTGGGGTGCTGGACTCTCACCTGGTCACCCATGGTTTGAGTCCTCAACCTGGCAACCTAAAAATCATGCCAGGCACATTGTGCATGTGCCCCAAATCCTGAGAGAATGGAGAAGAGATTGTGGTGTGGCCATACTCCCTGGGGTGTGATTTCTCGCTTTCCCTCTCTTTGTCTCTTCAGGTAAAATGCACACATTCTGACTGGTCCTCTCATTCTGACTAGTCTCCACTTTCTGACAAGTGCATGGGACACATTCTTTCCCAGTATCCTTCATGGCTATTGCCTACATTTAAAAAAATCGTTAGAGAGATAAGATTTGAAACATTGCTCTGTCATTCCTGAGTTGTTATTCCAGCCAACAAGATGTGGAGCACAGCATCTCTCTGCACCTGCCTGAATTTCTGACTCCCAGAAAAACAAGCACTAAGATAGTTTTTTTTTCTTTTTTTGTTAAGCCACTGAATTTAGGTGCATTTGATTATATAGCAATGGGAACTGAAACAATCCCCATTGATCATAAAGATGGTTTTTTCACTTAATGTACACTTCCTTTTTTCACTGAATGCCAAACAAGGATTTTCCATTACATGCCTTTTTTGGTTTTCCTTCCTTACCTCTCAAGTCTTCTAAGCTCTTCACTCAAGAGGCTCTGCAACTCCAGTTTTTCCAGAATGAGTTCACACTGCCTCTGGTACTGTTCCCGAGGGTTTTCAGGGAAGGACGTGTGTAGAGCATTCACACCTCCAAGCAGTGCACCTCCCTGAAGGGGTGAGAAAATTCCAGAGTCACCGGGCCAGAGGCAAACTGATCGAGAGGAAAGTTGGTTAAAGTCCATACCTCTATCTTGGATATCAGAATCATCTAGGAGCCCTTTTACTTATTATTTTCCTTTATTGCCAGAAGGTGTGCAAGCTCACCAAAAAGGCAGAGAAAGAGCACCTCCCAATGGGGTATGGTCATGCTGCATCCTTTTTCCATCCCATCAGGATACTGAGCACTGAAACACAATCACCTGGCATCGTTTTCAAGTCACCAGGGCAGAGATTTGAATTATGGTTGGCCATGTGGGATCTGGTTCCCTGTGTACTGTTTAACTACTGTGCTACAGGGCCAGCACCCAATTTTTTCTATAAGAAAGAGAGACAGTCCCAACAAGGTATTCATGTCTAAAATACAATGATTTTTATACCTCTTAATATGTTAATAAACTATCTTTTTTTTTTTTGGAGGGGTTTTTGCTGTAAGGTGTGTACTATTGCCAGAAACAGAGAGACAGAAAGCGAGAAATCACCCCCCAGGGGGGATGGCCATGCCACAATCCCTTCTCTTCCATTCTCCTCTCGGGATCTTGGGCATGCACGCACATGCACCCGGCATGAGTTTAAGCTACCGGGTCTGGGACTCGAACCGCGGCCGACTACATGGGAGCTCAGTGACACAGGCATTATGCCAACTGCTGGTCTCGTTAATAGAGTATCTTAGAGAAGAAAAAAAGAAAGCTTGTGGGGCCAGCAGGTGGCTTGGTGGTTAATATGCTGGATCCTACATGGCCAACTCTGTGGTTCAAGTCCTAAACTCAGTGGCTTAAATAACACAAGGGCACATGTGTGTTTGTCCAAAATCCTAGGAGGAAAACAGAGAAGGGATTATCACTTGGCAATTTCCCCTGGGAGGGGGGGTGATTTCTTATTTTCCCTCTCTCTCTCTTTCTCTTTCCAGAACACATGCACCGTATGGAAAAAAAATCTAAGGAAAAAAAAAAAGGCTTGTAATTAGGGTAAATTTAGGTTCACAGAATATCTTTACCTGCATTGAGGATTCCATTACTGACACCACTGTAATAGCATCTTCCAGAGTCACAGTATCACGAAACATCAGGCGTGCATGTGCTAAGAAAATAAAATACATTTTGAGGTGATAAAGATAATTTTCTATCTTAACCCCCCCAACTGTATTTTATAAATAAGCTACTAATAACAAATTATTATTACTAGAACAAGAACAGAAATTTATGTTTAACTTGCTATAATTTTTCTAATAATGGCCTAATCCTTCTGCAGAGCCCATGCAATGTATTTGTATGAAAAATCACTGTGTTATTTTTTGTTTATTTGTTTTATCTCCAGTGATGCTTTTTACCTTTATTCTGGGAGTCCCTACAGCTATCACCAATGCAGCAAATCCCCACTTGAATCACTTTAATAATGCACCAATGAAGGAAACATTGTTTGTAAAGATACCCATGTATCTCCAAGCTTCATTCTGGCCCCATGGATCTCTTAGTCCTTGTGCAGCCAGCTTCTCCTGGAGAGTTTCTAATCGTGTTCCTTCTATCTTCCACTGTTTATAATCCGGAAGTTCCATTTTACCATGACCATGTTCATGCCCACGGTTCATGACTCATGACAACCTGACCTCTCAGGACACTCCCTGAAAAATCACTTTGGATTCTAATAAGGAAATGGGCTACAGGACATTTAAAAGAAAAATAGGGAGGCAAAGCATTAACGGGACAAAGAAATGTGGTATTATCTGTTGAAGATAATTTATAGATTCATCAACTGTACTAGGGAGAAATATTCACCTGTTGAAATATCCATTTTGTAAGCCAAATAATGTGATTGAATGTATGAAAGAAAATGAAATAAAGAAAAAAAGAGTTCTGTATCATTTGATAACCTTGCCAACCATAAAAAAAAAATGGGCTACATAAATATATATTTAATATTCAGCTACTTTTATCCTCACTTTTTAATCTCTTTAAAAATACACAAAATTAACTAATTTCTTAACCCTACCACTTCTTCTATCTATGGTCTATAAGCTTTTCAAAGCTACTAAATTTTGGGTATCTTGCCCCAATATTAGGTATAAATCCTTGAAAGAATAAAGTTCATTTGTTTTATAGTACTTATTCTTACATTGCGTCATTTCGTCATATGAAACTTTCAATTCATGTGATTTTTTTTCTTCTTTTTGAGAATTACTTAAACAAAGGCTAAAATATAAATGCTAATGTTAGAAAAGGCTGAGTTGTGGGATCAGCAGGTGGCATGGAGGTTAAGGTGGCTGGATCTCACATGGCAGACTGTGCAGTTTGAGTCGGGGACCTGATAGCTTGCAAAACATGTAGGACATGTGTGCATTTGTGCCTCAAATCCTGAGACGAGAATAGAGGAAAAGGGATTGTGGTGTGGCCACCCCTCTGGGGGGGAGGGAGTGTTATTTCTCACTTTCCCTCTCTTTCTTTCCCTCTGTCTGTTTCTCTCTGGTGAGTGCAAGCACACTATTGCAAAAACTGAAAAATAAATAAATAAATAAATAAATAAAGGAAGACAGACAGAAAGAAAAAAATCCTGAGTGGCATATATTAATATTAGCTGTGTATATGAATGTAAGCTTTGTGCCTTAGGAATGGGACAAGGCATTACACTGGTAACATAGTTGTTATAATAATAAGGATGGGTTGCTGCTGGAATTACTGAGCAAGAACCAGAGCCTAGAGATACTACGTGGGAAACAAAGCAAAACAAAAAAATGATCCTACACAAACTGCTCTCAGAGCTGCCATTGAGAAACAAACACTAGAAACGAGGCTTTCTAAGTGAATAATACCTTAACTTAGAGGAGGTCCTGAGCTGTCACAGAGCCCTTTTTCTTAATATGCTACATTCCACTAAATATTCCACAATCTGTCGTCAGAAGAGTGGAGGCCTCATGGCTCAGAGCCTTTACTGTGTAAGGGGCTATGAACCTATGAACATTTTTAAGTGGGGATTATTCATATTCATCTTTGAATCCATGGTGCCAACCCCTGTGCCTTGCACATTATGGGCATTCAATAAAAGTATTATTTATTGAAAGAAATAGACCTTCTGCTAATCGTATCAAGCTTTCCAGCAGGCGGATGGTTGTCCGGGCAGCATTCCGGGAATCACTTTGCCTTTGCATCTGGTAGTACCGGAGAAGAACTTGATTACCCACGTCAGACAGCGTGGGCTGTAGATTCCTAATGAGGCAGAAGTAGGTCTTCATCTTTTCCATGCTCCAGAGCTTCTCCGACTTACTTGGATAACCTATGGATATCAGGTGTTGGGTGAGCAATTTTTTTTTAAGGTCTTTGCCATAGGGCTCATGTTCTCGTCAGAGAGAGACAGTGAGAGGGAAAGTGAGAAATCATCTCCAGGGGGGAGAGGGGGAGGGCCATGCTGCAACCCCTTCTCCTCCATCTGCTTCTGGGATCTTGGGTGTGCACTCACACACACCCAAAGTGATTTTGAAAGCGCCAGGTCCAGTACTCAAACCATGGTTGGCTATGTGGGAGTCCACCACCTTAACTACCATGTCACCTGCTGGTCCCGGGTCAGTAATTTTTAAGAACAGGAAAACATCTCAATTTAAGAGTTCTTGTTCTCATTTATTAAAAGATACCCTTTGGGACCAGCAGTTAGCATAATGGCTATGTCGCTGGACTCCCATGTAGTCGACTGCAGTTCGCATCCTGGACCCAGTGGCTTGAAACTCACGCTGGGCACATGTGCGTGCGTGCCCGAGATCCCAAGAGGAGAACAGAGGAGAAGGGATTGTGGCATGGCCATCCCCCCCCGGGGGGTGATTTCTTGCTTTCTGTCTCTCTCTGTCTGTCTAGTGAGCGCACTTGTCCTATAGCAAAGAAAAAACAACAAAAAAAAACCTCTCCAAAAAAAAAAAGATACCCTTCAGGTTTTTGTGGCCACTGAAAGCTAGACTTATTCTGTGTAGTAAATAGTTCTAGAATAAACAATCTTAGAATAGAACCTTAATAAAGGAAAAAATGTTATGGGTTTTTAAAATAATCCAGAGGGTGAGGGGCCAGCAGGCAGCTGGTAGTTAAGGCGCTGGACTCCCACATTGCCAACTGTGGTTTGAGCCTTGGACCCAGAGGCTTGAAAATCATGCCAGGCACATGTGCATGAGTACCCAAAATCCCTAGAGGAGAATGGAAGAGAAGAGATTATGGCATGGCAATCTCTCCTGGGGGGTGATTTCTCACTTTCCTTCTCTCTGTTTCTCTCTCTCCCTCTAGTGAGCACATACACCCTATGGAAAAATCCTAAAGGAAAAAAATAATCAGAATAATGCTAGTCTGCCATATACTAATAAATATTACTTAAGTAAATCTAATTTAAAGAGAAGCTCACATTTGAAGATTTCCATTTCATATTTCAGTTCACTTTTCTTCATGTGCAAGAGGTAAGTTGTAATTCTGCACCATAAAGCTGCTCCCTTTCATCACGGAGACGGATTTGAGAACTATAATTTCATCAACGGCAGGTGGAGAATGAGCCCTTCCCGCTGCTCTTTATTCTGGTGCCCATGAACTAGTTCTGCTCACTTACAACTTTCTGTCTGAGCATCTTTCTATTGACTATTGGGTAGGGTACCTTGGGTATGTATTTTATTTTCTTCAAAAGGAATTTTCTTTAGTTATGTCTGATTACTCATTGTCACTTTGAGTGATTTGTATTTACATACCTTTATTTTCTAAGATAAAGGAGGAAATTATACGATCCCAGTCTTCATTCTTGGTATCAAGCAAAACCAGGATAAGGTCAAATCGACTTAAGAGTGGGCTGCCGAGGGCAATGTTCACAGACACGGACTCATGAGGGTCGTACTGGCCTTTGGGGTTAGTTGCCGCCAGGATGGTGGTCCTTGTGTTCAGCTTGCACACGAGGCTACCGAAAGAGAGGGTACAACTCATTCAAGGCAAAATTAAAACTGAATAAGACGGGGCTGCATGTGCACCTTAAAACTCTAAAATAACGCCTGTGAAAGAAAATGTGGGGTGATACAGGGAGACAACACAGACACCACACCAAGTTCAAATAAAACACAGGTTACGTATCCCTTATCTGAAATGCTTGGGACCAGAAATGTTTTGAATTTTGGACTCTTCAGACTTTGGAATATCTGCACACACAACACAGTGTCTTGGAGAACAGATCCAAGTGTAAATATAACATTCGTTTATGTTTCACATACCCTTATACACATACCCTGAAGGCAATTTTATATAATATTTTAAAATAATTTTGTACAGGGCCAGCCAGGAGCATAGTGGTTAAGGCAGCAAGATCCCACATGGTGAACTGCGTGGTTCAAGTCCTAATCCCAAGGGCTTGAAAAACACACCATGACTGCCCAAAGTCCCAAAAGAAAAATAGAGGAAAAGAGATTACAGTACAGCCATCTCCCCAGGGAGTGTTTTCTCATCTTAGTAAGCACACATACCCTATAGAAAAAAATAATAATTTTGTGCATAAATAAAGTTTGTATACAAGTGAAATTTTCTGCTCATAGATGGCATCATGTAAGAACTTCGAAAGTTTTGGACTTTGAGGGATATCTAATTTTGGATTTTTGAAGTAAGATACTCAAACTGTAGACTGCAAGTGGTCTATTTCAAAGGTAAGCAACTACTCTAAATAAACACTTTTTATAACCTTGGTATGAGCAGATCTCTCTGCTAAGTGCAAAAAGGCATGAAAAATTAAACCAAATAGATACTGTTCTTAAGCAGCTTGCAGTCCAGTAGCTAAAATGTAATACAAGGTAGCATATGGTAAATTCTCTAAGCATAAAGACCTCAGTGGAAATTAAGAGGATGTATATTCATCCATGTGAGTGGAAATGATGATTAGAAAGTCAAGATGAAGCTTTGGTACTGGGCCCTGCAAGTTATCTGGGTATTTTTATGCTAAGAGAGAAGTATTTGTGGAGGGGATGAAAGCGGATAGGGATGTGAATGAGTTGGGAGAATGGTGAGTGTTTGAAGCAAAACCTTTCTGTGTACTCATTTACGTTGATATTTCTATTTTTAGAGAGAGATTTTTGCTATAGAGCATGTGTGCTAACTGGAGAAACAGAAAAACAGAAAGCAAGAAATACCCCCCAGGGGGGATGGCCACACCGCAATCCCTTCTCCTCCATTCTCCTCTCAGGATCTTGGGCACACATGCACATGCGCCTGGTGTGAGTTTAAGCTGCAGGGTCCAGGACTCAAACCATGGTCAACTCTGTCGGAGTCCAGTGACATAACCATTACCACCTGCTGGTCCCTTATGTTGATATTTCTAAACATAAACACAAAAGAAAGAAAAAAAAGGGAAAAAAAATAAAGGAAAAGAACAATTGGTTCAGCACTGAGTTTTTCAGGAGCAATTGTGAAGAGACGCCTCAAGAGTTGTGGGCTTAGTGGGAAAGCTGGACAGAAGACAGGGTACGGCAGGGGAGACAGGGCAGGATGCTAGCACAATGGTCCTTGTAAAGAGGCAGAGGTCCTAGATGGTGCAGTGGCAGGGTAAATATTGGTGCGACATATTTAGATACTGTTTTAAAATTAAAGATGGGCAAGTCCTCACAGTAATATGGCATATTCAGTAACAATAAGAACATTTCTACCCATAAACTTGTATGGGCAGTACTTGATTCCCACTTTGGGCTGTAGAGGGATGTCTGCCTCTCAGAAGTCACAGCACCATGACAGATGTTAAGCCCTCATCTATTTCCAGCTGGCTCTTGCAGCTACTTTCATTTCCTGACGCTGGAAAAGCTTAAGAATCTTCATTTGTGGTAAATGACATAAGAAAACACTCATAAAATAAGACAAAGAAGGCAGTTTTATAAAAAAAACTAAATTCCCTTTTAAAAAATTAGTGAAAAATTCTGAACAGATAGTACACATAATAATTTATGTGTTCAAAAAGCTTTCGTAAAGGCAGTTGTTTAGAACAATGTGATAAATGGTAACTAAGCCCACAAAAGCACATTTAATTTATACTGAAATGAGACTATTTGAAGTTATCATTAAAAAAAAAAAAAAAAAAAAAAAAAAAAACCCGCGAATAGGGGGTAAAAAAAAAAAAAAAAACAAAAAAAAACAACCCACGAATATGGAGGGGCCAGCAGATGGCAAAATGATTACATTGCTGGATTCCCACATGGTCGACTGGAGTTCAAGTCCCAGATCCAGTGGCTTAAAATTCACGCTGGGTGTGTGTGCTTGCATGACCAAAATCCTGAGAGGAGAATGGAGGAGAAGAGATTGTAGCATGGCCATCCCCATTTGGGGGGATGATTTCTCACTTTCTGTCTCTCTGGCAAGTACGCAAACCCTATGGCAAAAATCTCTCAAGAAAAAAAAAAAAAAGAAAGAAAATGGAGTATACACAGCCAAAAAATAAAAAGGAATATAGAATATTTTTGCAACACTGGCCACGAAACAAAACACAATTACATCTGAAATAATTTGTAAAAACTTTCAATGCTAGGTAAAAATTAGTTGATTGTTCCCCTTCTCTCTAATCAAGAAATAATTAATTATAGGTTGCTGAGCATTCAAAAAGGTACACAGCTACTCCCTTCCTCTAACTAGTTTACAGGACACCTGCTGGAAGAAGCTCACCACAGGCCTTCAGAGAGGAGGGGTACAAGATAGGTGTCATCACAAACCTAAAGCCAAGGATACCCAGGTTATGCTGAGGGCAGCAGAGGGGATTCTGACACAGACCTGCACAGCTCCAAAACCAAGGCTCTTTCACTTTCAGACTTCTTCCTCTGTGGGTTGTCACATATTAGATTTACAACTCTTATCATCTTAAATATTCTGCCTGATGTTTTAGTTATTGATTTACTTGTCTTATTTTTTTCCTACTAATGTGATCCTCCTTGAGAGACTACGACTTATTGTTATAATCCTCACATTGCTTGGCACAGATTAAATGCTCAATTAATGTTCACTAATTAAACGATAAATTAAAAAAGAAACCCTTTACTTAGTTCAGTATGTACTAAAATTCAAAGTTATTTTGTACTCATAGGCTTCAAAAGTTAAAAAAGAAAATGACAATGCTTATACTTATTTTTTTCTGTGTTAACTTCAAGGAGTAAACATCCCGATGTCTGAAAAAGCTACTTTTCCATTTATTTAACACACATATTTCAACTTCCCTAAAAACACAGTAGCAATTCTTCTAAACACTGAAAAGGAGGGTAATGCAAGTAATTTTCACCAGCACAAGCCCTACCAAAAGTACCCTTGTTTTTACAGGGGTCTCCCATTTTCTTACCAGTGCACCCTTTATGGGGTGATCCCTGGCTTTACTCATAAAGCCACCTACATGGTAACATTTCCAAACTCAGTCCCAGCTTTTGGCATTGGCTGTTACAGGAATACCAAACCTTATTTTCTTTTACTTTCTGGGAAGAGTAAATATCTTATTTCCCATCCCTTTTTATAGTTAAGTAGGGCTATAATACCAGCTCTGGACAATAGAATGGGGGTTGAAGAACATATCCCACTTTTAGGTCTGGTCCATAAAATCTATCCTGTGCAATCCTTCATATTTTCTCTCTTTCTGTGCCAGTGGAATGCAGGAGAGGATAAGGCCCTGAAGTCAGAAACCACATAAGGAGTCTAGGCCCTAAGTGATTATAGGACAGAGTATTTAACCCTCAAATCACATTCAACCATGAAATGAGCCAGGAAAATTTCCTTTAAAAAAGTATTGCAGCGGACCAGTAGTTAGCGTAATGGCTATGTCGCTGGACTCCCATGTAGTCCGACCGTGGTTCGAGTCCCGGACCCAGTGGCTTAAACTCACGCCGGGCGCGTGTGCGTGCGTGCCCAAGATCCCGAGAGGAGAATGGAGGAGAAGGGATTCCGGCATGGCCAGCCCCCCTGGGGGGGGTGATTTCTTGCTTTCTATCTCTCTGTCTCTTTCTGTCTGTCTGGAGAGTGCATGCACCCTATAGCGAAAAACCTCTCCCCAAAAAATAAATAAATAATAAAAGTATTGCAGCACATGAATGGACTGAAAAAGTATGGCACATATATACTATGGACTACTACTCAGCCTGGCATCTGATAGAAAGTGGATGGATATGGAAGATTTACAGCTAAGTGAAGCAGGTCAAACTATGAAAGAGAGGCATTGTATGTCCCCACTTAATATATATTGAACATTTGCACTCTATGGAAAAAACTGAATGATTAGAAAGTATAAAAGCAGAGAGAGCAACTATAGAGATTAGAGAAAGTGTGGGCAGAAATGGGCAATGGGGGAGGAGTAGGGGCGAGAGCAAAACATTGAATGGACATGAAAATGGAAAGTTACCTGTCAGTGATAATGCACGGTAATATCTATGACTGGACTAAGATACAATGTACTCATGCTGTGGAAAGAGACAAAAGAACTGACCAGTTTTCAAGGAGAAAATAACAGAATAATAGCAATAAAGACAGCTCAGAAATTTAAGGTTTCAAAGGACCAGGGGGTTGGGAGAAATTGCTTCTATGCTCCAGAAAATTAAAGGAAAAACTGAAAAAATTTTGAGTAACAAAAACTCTCAGTGGATTGGATAGAGGACTCTTTTCGTTGCCAACCACCTTTTCTACCCTTCCTAATCTCCCTTAACCTGAGGCTAGTCTGTGAAGGGTGCCACCAGAGATGCAGCTTCATAAGATTCTGGGAGGAGACAGATAGGGTCCTTGGTGCAAAGCAATTCTCACCCTGTAGCACTGGATGGCAGACGACAGATCAATAAGCTCTAAAGTAGGTTTTAACAGTACAGGTTTCCTGGTCCCACCTCAGAGATTCTAGTACGGAAGGCTTGGTGTGGGCTAGAAAACTGATCGTTGGTTAAGTGGGGATTTATGCCCTAGCTCTTCCAGGGC